CTATAACTATAGCTATGAGGAAACTGACCCAAAAAAAGGAAAAATAATAACTTCAAAAATATGACATTAAATCTTTGCAAAATTATGTCACTATAGATCCACATGAGGAAATTAGTTTTAAAAGAAAATTAATTTTAAAAGAAATTACTTTTAAATTGACACTGAAATATTTTATTTCTGTATCTCAGTGGATAACATTACATGTGCTTTCCAATTCAAACTACTCACATTTGACAATTCTGAAAGGGATGAGATTTAAAATAATGTTACATATCACTGTCTCCCTTAATTAAGTCTCTCTATCTAGATCCTCAGATGTTTTTGTAATAAGATAAAATCAGATTTTTAAGTGACTATACAATTTTAGTGTAATTGAAGGAAAATTATCTATGATGAGTTTTTGATGACATGCTCCCTTAATGTACACAAATACAATATTTTTCCTGTAGAAAACATAAAGGCAATTCAGCTTTACCTCTAGAATGGTTGATGAAAAATTTTTATTTATTATTGAGAGTTTACCTCCATAATTCTTTATAGTCCTCTATTTTTTTGAATTGTTATTAAACACAAAGAATCATCTTCTAGGTTTCATAGATGATCAATAAGATTTTAGACATAGATAAAATAAATTGCTTGAGGGCATGCAAATTTGTTGCCATGTGACTACTCTGAATTGATGACACCCATGTTTGTTTCTTAAGTCATTGAGTCTGCTAGCTCAGAAAAGATGTAGAAGAATGTGTGGGAATCAGACCTGAAGAGTTGAGGAATAGTCTTGAGTAAGAGAAGCATGACCAAGAGATGTCTAGAAGATGCTTTGTGTTACTCACTGACTGTATTCAAACATTTGATCTTTATACATTTTGCAAGCATGTTCATATTCTTGCTAAGACTACTCTTTAAATATCCTGTGGACACAAACTCTTGATGTGTAAATTCTACTAACTTCATGGTAAATCACAGCAAAACTCCTGTCAACTATCAAAAAGGCTCATGAAAACCGAGATCCAACTCAAGTACACTAACATTTTATCCACAATTCCCTTTTTACCTTTTGTTGTCAAATCTGAGAGAAAAGAAGCCATTTCTTTTCTACACAAGAGTCTTCTTTCTTACTTTTTCTTTTTCCAAGTCAGTGAAACACAAGAGTTGAGGCATTCTATTCATGTTTGGAACTCAATCTTAGAGGCACATAGTAGAGAAGTATTGTTGGGAATTCTGATTTTTATGGTGCTCCCATAAACTAACTTATCTAAGTGCTTTAGCTTCTCTGTGCCTTGCTTCTCATCTTCAAAGAGAGAGACTTAGATGTCTGTCACTAACGTCCTTCTCTCCACCTATTAATTGTACTAATTAATTAATATTAATTGTATGTGTCAGTCCAAATGAAGATTCCTGGAAATCTTTTAATTCATTGTTTTTAATTTTATTTTGATATTATAATATAATTACAATATTTTCCTTGCCCTTTCCTCCCTCTAAGCCTTCACATATACCTCCTCCCCTTTTCCTTCAAATTCTTGTCCTCTTTTTTTACTAATTGTTATTGCATTCATAGAGGTATATACATATTCATTCCTAAATAAAACATCTTCAATATATTTAGTGTTACTTATATTTATGATTTCAGGGGTGACCATTTGGCATAGAACAACTAATTGGTGTGAACTTCTCTGGGCAAGACCATGTCTCTTACTCTTAGCTTTTCTGGGTTGCCTATAACTCTTTGCCTCTCCTTCTTGCTTCTGTTTCTTAGTTTCTCTATTTGACTCTGCCCCCACTCCTTTTTAACTTTTACTCTTGGCCATACTAGAAACTAAATATTTAAATGATATTCTCATAAGACTGCAATATAAGTCATTCTGAAGAAAGCAAAGGAAGAAACTGTCCATGTTTCAATCCACTATGGATAGAAACAACTCAGTTTTAAGCATGTGTTGCTCTACTGTGCTTGATATTTTAACTCCAACAATTTCCCAAAATCTACCAACATATATTAACTTTGGTCCATGAAATAGGAGACAAATATTTCCCTATTTTTACTGTACTATCTTTTACATTTGACAAAAAAGACACTATTGGGTGATACTTGGGTATATTCATAGCATCCAGGAGAAAACTGATATTTGCTACCATTTCAACACTTATGTTTAATATAACAGAAGACTGGTTAACTGACAGACTTCTTTTGCCTGAATTGAGATGTAGGGTATCAGGCTGGGGTGATATTCTGTATATGTCAATGTAGTTATAGCTCTTGTGGAAGTAATATACATCAAATTGGTCATTGCATTCACTCTGTTAAGCATGGTACTTCATCATACTTGATGTTTAATATTTTGATACTCACCCATAATATCAGCAATCTTCAAAGAAAAAGTATTTCCTAAGCTGAATATTAAAAGTGTGAAGATAACAGAAGACATCTATTTTAGCCTAAGAAAACACCAGTGAGGGTACTGATGGCTGAAATTCGAAAAATTGTATTCAGTAGTTTCATAGTATATTCTTTTTCTTGGTTTTTTGAGACAGGGTTTCTCTGTAGCTTTGGAGGCTGTCCTGGAACTAGCTCTTGTAGACCAGGCTGGTCTCGAACTCACAGAGATCTGCCTGCCTCTGCCTCCAGAGTGCTGGGATTAAAGGCATGAGCCACCAACGCCCGGCCATAGTATATTCTTAATAAATTTAGAATGTGTAGAAAAGTAAAAAGAAATATAGTGACCTAACAAACAAACATGGATTTGAAGATAAAATTTTAGAAATATTCAAAAGATTTGTGGTACAAGTTGTAGTGAAAAACAGACATCTAGAACCATGGACATTGTTCAAATCACAGCTTTACCATGTGAGCCACAAGAACTAGAAAGAATATGCCTCTATTCCTCCTTTGCTGTTTTAGAATAAGAGTAAATAAGTGTCAATCTTATGATGTTGTATAAATTTAAATAGCCTTCATAATAAAGTCAGAGAGTTTTGGAAACACATCTAGTGCTTTACAGACATAACTGAATTATTATTGATGATAACCAAATGAAAGCAACTTTCCTTGAAAGACTTGAAGAAAACTAACCTAGTGGCATAAGCATCTCTGAAAAACATTTTGATATTGATCAATAAAATAACTTTGGAAAAGAAATAATGCTACTTTTATAAACACAACATGTTTTTACCTAATATTGGCATTTTTACTTTAAGCTTATAATGAGCATGAGCAAGATTAAATATATCAATATCCTATAATTATGTTTAATGCAAAGGAAATATTCCACAAATGTTACTCAGGAGTCTATGTAGTGAGCAACACTGTTTACCACTTTATAGGCAGTGTGACCTAAGAGAATGGAGCCAATAATGGAGGCAAACTAAAAGCTCATGAAATAGCCTACTTTATTCAGAACATCGGACAATTTATACTCACAAGGTTAAGAGCAGTCCTGTGAGTAACTTGTGTAATCACAAGAGCAAGCCACATGCGGCAGGCAATCTGCACAAGGTAAATCATGTTTTCTTTTTCATAAAGGGATATAAATAAATAACAGCAGCTAGTTGTAATGAATAAGCTGAAATAAACTCACTCCTATATGTTACACCTAAGGGGCATGGAAGCATAATCCAAGAATGATTCTGTATTTTTTAAGAAACTGAGGTCACAGGACTCTTGTTTTCTTGGACTTTTCAGAATTCTCCTCACATGATTCCATTCTTGAACTATGTTCCAACAGGCCACACTCTGTACCGTATTGTGATCGGGCTTCTATAGCAAATACTGACCATCGGCACCTGGCATATCCGTATCTGATGGGAGTGGGAAAAGTCATAAAGCCAGTACAACTGCTTGACAAAGATCCACAAAGCTAATCCAGTGATGAATGCCGTGCCACTTTTAATTGTGATCTCCATGTGTTGCATGCTTGGAGGGCTATAACCACAGGTATTAGAAGGAAGTTTGACCTCACATCTTTTTAGCAAAATGCTAGTAGTTGATTCCTCCTTGGGCCTATGATCTCCCCAGCCTCTGTCATGTACATAATACCAGGCATGGGTTTCTTCCTTGAAGAAATCTTGAATCCTTGACTCCAATCTGAAAGTGGTCAGCTACTTCTATAATACTCATGCCTCCATTATAATGAGCATGTCTTTCCAGGTAAATAGATACTTAGTGTAGCTCACAGAGTTCTGTAACACAAAACATAAAAGATCCAGAGAGAGATCTTGGGATTTAAGCTTCAAGCAGAAAAATAAAGCAGCCAGCCACTAGCTCTTACCACTACCTCAGCTGAAAGGGATGATTCTGTTGCCTCTACTCAGCGTGGCTGTAGAATCTTGAGACTGAATGTCTTCCTATCCTCAATGTGGCTGGAGAATGAATTGCCAGCTCTGAGACCCTGTTCCTGTCTTAAATGCCTCGCATGAATCCTGGGATTAAAGGCTTGATCCCAAATTCTGTGAACTGTTTCTCTTTAGGACTGGATCAATTTCAAGTAGCTTAGTGTGGCCTTGAGCTAACAGAGATCCATCTGCCTCTTAATCCTGAGTCATTGGAGTCAAGGTGTGTGCCTGGCTTCTGTGGCTTGTTGCTGACTTTGCTTTCTGAATCTGCAGGCAAGCTTTAATAAATCATAAATAACATGTTCACAGATAAGCACGACTATTGGTGAATTTTCTCCCTCAACACACGGCAGAACAATTTCAGAAAACCTGGAAAATGAGGCAGCAGAAAGGACACATCCAGTTCATTTCCAGTTTGATTTCTACACCTCTGATGACCTATGTGTATGTTGTCCTCAGCAATAGGGTGATGGGGAAAGTACTTCTGTGTATGTTTATCTTATTGATTGTTAAATAAAATACTGTTTGGCCAATGAGACAGCAAGTTAGACGGGACTAGGAGTCAAAGAGGATTCTGGGAAATGTAGTAGAGAAGTGGCGATCCAGGCAGGAAATGACATAGCAAGGAGACTCATATTTAGCAAGGAAACAGGAAGTGTTCTCTTTTTTTCTCATTCCTCCTCCAGTGGCAGGATGTGATCCACCAGCAAGGAGGGATGCCAATAAGGTGTCCGATAAGATAAGTCTTATAAAATATATAGATTTATGATGATTAAGACTGAGCTAGCAGACGAGAATCCTAGTCATTGGCCAAGCAGCTTTGTACCTAATATGTCTCTGTATTATTTTGTCCATCCCCGCAGCAAGCACAACTCAGGTGACTGGTGGAGACCGTCCACAAGGCGGTAGGGCTCAGGCGGCTTTTGGTAGAAAGATTTATTGTAACAATAGGGTCTTACCTTCATGTTCTTGTGGGCAACCAATCAAAAGCAGTGATGATAATCCATATTGCTTTGGATGCTTCTGAGACCTCTCTGACCAACAAAGCATAGGAAAGTATCCCAAATCTGGTATTGTGGGTTTTTTTCTTTGTATTCTGTGAATTTTGGAAGAAACATTATTCTCCATGTATAGTACCTCCATTCAAATTAATCTTAAAATTATATTTTAAATAAGTGTATAAAGTAAGCTTGCATAATGTATTATACTTCATTAAATATACCATATCACTCATTGCTCAGTCATTTTCTCTTTGTATTTACTTTTATTTTTTATACAGTTTGTTTTCTTTTTAATGGTATAGCTCTGTATGGGTTTTTGAAATCTTAAAGCTATAAGGCACAATATATTAATTCTAAGTAGACATCCACTTATTAAATTTAGAATTTTAAAAGTTTCCTCAACATAAGAATTTGTGTTTCTTCTGCCTTAGAAATTGTTTCCCTTTCTGAATGTTGTATGTTTTACCAGGAAATCTAGATAAACAATAAAGTTATAGAAACTTTACTTTTAAATATCTTTTATTTTTATCATTTTAAGCTCTGCTCTACGTAATTTTCAAAATTCTATACTAAAAATTTTTGCCCTAAACTCCATCAAGGAGAATGTTTATTGTGGTTTTTATTCGCTAGTGGGAGTGCAAACTTGTACACCCACTTTGGAAAACAGTATGGTTGTTTCTCTGGAACATGGGAATCAATCTACCTCAAGATCCAGCAATTCAACTCTTAGGCATATAAGCAAATGATGCACATTCATACAACAAAGACATCTGTTCAACTATGCTCATGGCAGCATTATTTGTAATAACCGGAACCTGGAAGCAACCTAGATGCCCCTCAACAGAAGAATGGATAAAGATAATGTGGTACATTTACAAAATAGAGTGCTACTCAGCAGAAAAAACAAACAAACAAACAAACAAACAAACATTGAAATCTTGAAATTTGCAGGCACATGGATGGAACTAGAAGAAACCATCCTGAATGAGGTAACCCAATCACAGAAAGACAAGCAGGATATGTACTCACTCATATGTGGACCTTAGACATAGAGCAAAGGATTACCGACCTACAATCCACACCTCCAGAGTAGCTAGGAAGGTAGGAGGATGCTAAGAGAGACATACACAGTCCCCCAGAGAAGGGGAATGGGGCAAGAGCTCCGTTTAATTAGTTCTTAATTACACAGAATCTAACAGGCTCATAATTCATGAGCACCTGTTTCTGTTTTAATATTCCCAACGTTTTGTGATATTTTTTCTTTATACATCAAAGACTTTAAACATGTTCATTTTAAGTACTTTCCTAGATAATTTTATTTGTCTTGGATTTAATAAATAAACTCTTTTCTTTTTGTTGTTATTTTGTGATAAAGTTTGTTTAGCAATGAGTAAAAATTCATAACATAATGTGGAATTTTTCTGCTTTTTAATTCTTGTTAGTGTGTTTATTTTTCCTAGATTTATTTTTTCTTTCCTATTTCTCCTTTCCTCTTGTGCAGAACTAAAATAATTTTAGCTTCACTCCTCAGGGGTCTACAAATCATTTACACTTTTAAAAATCTCTTCCTGGTTTGCACATTTGCAGAATGAAAGCTAATTCCCAATTTGTCTGGTTTTTAATCATTCAGTTTTCTTTGCCTATCTACATATTGATTTGACGTGTAACCTTAGACAAGAAAATAGTTGTTTTACAACTTCCAGGTACGAATAGGGGAATATAGTCTCCCATGAAATGCATCTGCTCCATTTTGTCCTCAAGCCTTGACATCTGGAATCTCACCATCAACTTTATGCACCAGTTTGTCATGATTTTTTTTGTAGTACTCTCTGACACCAGAGACTTAGCTACTCTTTATAAGTGTTTTTTTTTACATTTTAAAATAAAGTATGTAACTTTAATTACATTGTATGTGAGTTATATCTGTTAGAGAGGGAGAAGAAAAATTAAGAACAGCCAGATTTTTAAGGCAACATTGCTAGTAGGAATGGAGTCAAGAAAATCATGAGCTATGTCTTCTTATGCCTGGTTAAATATACTGGATACCTATTGCTCAGTTATTTTTCATTTTGCAGTTTATTGTTTTTTTTCTATAATTCGCTTACTTTTGCCTAATGCTTATTTATTACTCTATTTTCCACTACTGTAAAAAAATCTGATGTATACTAACTTTCTAAAGGAAGGAGGTTTATTTAGTTCCCTGTACTGGAGTGTAAGTCTGGGATTGTGTGTTTTCATTGGTTTGCCTCTCCTGAGGAGCTATGGGGCAGCACAACAGAGAACAGGGAGGAGGAAGAGATCACATCTCAAAACACTAAGTCCGGGAGACTCAAACCTTCTGCTTGGTCTTTGGTAGTTTTAGGTCAAAAGGGCTTAAGAGTCCCATTAGAACTACTTTAAAGTCCTCTGAAGGAAATGACCTTCAACTGTGTCCCTCCTCTCAACAGTTCACACTACCTCCCAATGTGACCATGCTGATAAGAGCTTCTAATGTAAACTCTTGGAGCATAAAACACATCCAAATCTATAGTATCCACTATCAATACAAGGTAAGTACAAGCCTCAGCATCAGAACGTGCTCTCTCATCATTTATCAGCTTCACACAATATTTAATCAGGCACAGAATGTTTTTCAAGGTGAAACGCACACTGTATCACCACAAAACTATTTTTATAGTTCTTTAGTTACAGTACAAAGTAATAAATATATGCTAAATATATTATTGTTAAATGCTAGTATGCCTTTGGCAATGGTGAGCATATGTACATGTGTATGATTTTGTAAAATAATAAATCTGCCTAAACTTTGTTTCTAAATTCTTGGGAGGGGAAATTTCAATCCTTGGAATTGAGAGAAAATTGTCTAAGAATCATCACTGTGGTAAGAAGGAACTTCATGGAGATTACCAGGATATCTTCGGAATATGGTAATCAAGTATGGGATTATAACATTGGTCTGTATGCCATGTATATTAGTCCAACTTTCCAACCTCCTGGGAAGATAGGACTGGAGGTTGAGTTCAAGTATTTTCCAATAAACAAGCATGTGTATGAAGTGAAATCTGAGAGAAATTTCTAGGTTCCAAAGTTCAGTGGCACTTCCTGCATGCTAAACACACTACATGCCTGGATGGTAGCAGGTCCTCATGGCATGAGGAGACCTATGTGGTGGTTTGATAAGAATGGCCTCCGTAGGTAGATGCTGTGTGGAATGAGCCCAAATAGAGAAGTGTGTTGCAGTCAACAACATTGAAGGAAGTTGAAAACTCAAAGAGTGCTTTGACATTAGACATGGAGACGCAGAATTGGAATTTTTTATATTGCTGGCTTTTTACACTGCTTTGTCCCAGTATTTCCTCACTGTGGTCCCTTTCCTCTCCTTTGGAATAGTAATGCATATTCTGTGCTATTATATTTTGGAAGTCCTTGGTCTGATTTTCAATTTTGATTTCAAGGGGATTATAGTTAGGAAACTGCCCTGAGTCTCGGAAGAGACACTTACCTTTGGACTTTTAAGCAATATTGAGACTATGGGGACTTTGGAAGTTGCAACTTCATTTGGTGTTATGATGGGGCTGCAGGTCTATGTGGGCCGTGGAGTAGAGTGTGGTGGTTTGAGTAAGAATGGCAGGCCCCAGTAGGCTCATATATTTAAATGCTTAGACATTAGGGAGTGGCACTATTTGAGAAGAATTAGAATGACCAGGAGTGTGGCCATGGAAGAAGTATGTCACTGGGGGTAAGCTGTGAGGTTTCAAAAGCCCATGCCAGGCCCAGTCTCTGTCTCTGTCTCTGTCTCTGTCTCTGTCTCTCTCTCTCTGTGTGTGTGTGAGTCTCTCTCTCTCTCTCGCTCTCTCTCTCTCTCTCTCTGTGTGTGTGTGTGTGTGTGTGAGTGTGTGTCTGTGTGTCTGTGTGTGTGTGTGTGTGTGTGTGTGTGTGTGTGTGTGTGTACGCCTACAGATCAGGACAGAGCTCTCAACTACTTCTCTAGTGCTATGCCATGTCTACCACCATACTCCCCTCCATGATGAAAATAGACTGTCTCTGACACTGTAAGCAAGCCCCCGGTTAAATTATTTTCTTTAAAAGAATTGCCATGTCATGGAGTCTCTTTACAGCAATAGAACTATCATTAAAAGAACCTACCTTCTCTTTCATTCAGGTTTTCGTCTGGCCGCTATTCCAATATATAGTCTTTATGATGAAACTGTAATCTTTTGTGTAGGGCTTCCTGGAGTTTCTTGCTAGTCATTCTACTTTAAGTGCCTGTGGGAGACTATTAAGTGCCTTCCTAGTCAACTGGAACTATAAACAGATTACTCACCTTCCCAAACATGTGGGTGGCCATCTAATATGAGGCAGCAGATCTTTAGGGAAATTGTGCCCTTAAATTTGTAGAATCTGACAATAATTTCAAGTGGTTATCATCAGAACTAGATGTCCCTAAAATAAGGTTAAACAATAGAGCCCTATTATATTTAATGAAAGATTATAAAATAGTTTATAAAGCAGTTTGTGGAATCCCTTTTAATAAAACAACAAAAATCTATTTTTATTCTTTAATTGCTACTCATATTTACATATCCATCCCTCCATTCCCTTGCCCTCCCATCCTCCCATGTTCCCCACCAAGCCCCCTAGCTCACCCCTCAACTCCTCCCCAGGTATAGTGAGGCCCTCCCCGGGCCACCTTCAAAGTCCATCATATCACTTGGGGGAGGGCCTAGGCCCTCCTTGCTGTATCTGGGCTGCAATAGTATCCCTCCATAGGGAATGGGCTCCCAAAGTCCATTTGTGCTCTAAGGATAAAGACTGTCTCTGCTGTTAGAGTCCCATAGACTGTCTTGGCCTCCTAGCTGGCACCCACATTCAGAGGGCTTGGTTTGGTCCAATGCTGTTTCCCCAGCTTTATGACTAGGATCTCCATCCTATCAGTAGGTAACAAAAATCTTAAGATTAAAAACAAAAGTCAAGGGGAAATACCTTTCCAAATTTAGTACCTGGCTGCCCCCTGCTGACACTGTCAGCCACTACTCATGGATAGATCCTCAATTTTAAGGATTATGTTAGTTTTGAAATAAATAGTTCTAAAAATTGAAATTCTTTCCCTGAAGATTTTTTTTTCCAGAATTGCTATAGTCCAATGGCCATTCTCTGATTTTTAAATATTGTTGGAATCCATCATCCCCAACAGCTGAGCATGGAGATAGAGAAACTGGTACTCATTTGCCAATCATTCAAAATTTTAAAGCTGAACCAGACAATTTAACTTTTTCTAAGAAACGGCACAGCAAGCCTAGAATTTTTTGTATGATTTTAGACAAGCCACATTAACACAAGCACACATGTTCTCATCTGTAAATTAGAAGTATCTGACAAAATGAGCTCATAGTTCCTCTAGTAGATAACAGGAAAGAAGCAGCCATTTGCCAACAGCAACCTGAAACTTCTTGACAAATAATGTCAAGAAATCCTAAGAACTTCCTATAACTATTATAATGTCCTACTTGTCATTGTTGTTAAAATCTTGTCTATCCTAATAACTATTACCAGTATTATTTTCATGAGCTGGGCAATCTTCAATAGATATTTCAAGAATAATACTTCAAATATTTAAAGCACACTTAAATGTCTTTTATCCTTAGTGCCACTTTTAAGCAAGAATAGGATTAATAGCTGAGCAATAAAGAGTTGATCCAATAGCTACACATAGACCCCATGGTTCCAAAATTTATTGTCTTCAATAATTACATTGTAGTATGATGTGCTCTTTATTTGCATGATAAGTTTCTTGAATATATGCCAATCATTTAAATTTCACATTTTATAGATTATTTTTAATTCCATCATCCACCCCATATCTACTCAGTGCCTATCTTTCCAGTATCATTCTAGACACTGAGGACTTAGCACTGAGCTAATGGATAGTTAACAAAAATGAACAAGTAGATGTATACCTGATAGTGCTAAAACTGTAAGAAGAAAAATAAAACAGAGTGAGGAAGTGTACTGAGGTCATGAAAAAAATGTGGTCCTATTTTAGAACAAGTGATCAAGAAAAGCCTTCAGATACAGTAATGTTTGTATAAATAGTTTCATAGACAAAACCAATCACATTTTATCTGCATATAAATATGCCCATCTACAAAGAGGCTTGAGGCTCAAATCAAAGGTATCTTTTAGTAGGGTGGATTTCTTTTTCCCAGTGGTCATGGCATAAAGTCAGTATAAACAGAATAAATAAAATAGAAAAGAAGGCAACCAGATAACATACTGGAATGGGGAAGTCTTTGGCATTTGATATGTCTTCTTTTGTCTACTGCCCTGGAGAAGAGCATGAGGCCACAACAAAGACCATTACACATTTCTATGACTCTTTGAAGTTTTCACAAAGGCAGCCAGATTCCCCAGTCAAGATTTCTGAGATCAACACTTGTTTATGATATTCTACTTTCAAAAAGTGTCTGTTTCAAACCCTGTCTAGAAGAGTGGGTGAGGGTAGTCAGTATATAATGCCCTTTTTATTATTTCCATATAACAGAAAAGAAAGTTGAATATATATTTGTTCTATGTTTGATAAAAAGGAACTCATTTGGTCAGTAAATAATTGAATGCGCTCCTAGCCTATTATTTTAGCAGTAATTAACCCAATTTCTATTGTAAGAAAATCCTACACAATTTGTTGCATTTCCACAAATGAACTGCCAATAACAAGTGTGGTGTTAACAAAACGGATCGTTGATCCAGTGATGAACAAAACAGAAGAGGTGCTCATTTTCATGGAAAAGTTTTCCCTCCCAGGGCGCCACACTGGATGCACAAAGTTTTTTGTTCACCTCTGTGATATACTCAGTCTCCTTAGTGTAGCCTAAAATTCTATTTCATAGCTTGATGTTTCTTCAATACCTAATAGTCTAAGCCCTTGAAATAAGTGATCTACGTTCACCAAATTTCCCATCAACATATGACATCAGTGTGAGGAGGTGAGCCCCACCCTGCAGGATGTTTACTCTGCACCAATTAGACAACTTGATGAACAGCTGAGCTTACACTAGAAAGCAATATTCTTTTGTATTTTTGAAGGGGAATGTTTCCAGAGCAGAAGGATGTCAGATAAAAAGTTAAAAATCAGGTAGCATACAAAATGAAGATGGAAGCAGTCTCTGGAGGAAAGAAAGAGCACAAACTAATGACTGTCTTTCTGAAACTATTCTTGCCTTGTCTTGCTACCTTCTCCCAATTCACAAGGTCCCTTGTCACAAGACCAAAGAAGGAATACTTGATAACTGGATATTTTCTACAGTCATTTTGAACTCATGCCAATTTTTTTTTCTGTTTTACTCAAGGAAAAAGATGAAGGAAAGGCCTGACTTTTGTATCTAGTCACAGACACTGCCAGAAGGCAGCAACACAACATGAAGCTCATTCCAACTGAAACACAACAAAGGAGATACCACAGGTGAGCAGAGGTTAAAACAGATATGGTGCTCATGGGCTAGCGTGTGTGTGAAAATTTGTAAATAGGGATGATGACACATTCAAGACAGAAGGTATGGATGCTGTCAGAGCAATGACAGATGATACCGCCGGGAAACGTCTGCTTTGAAATAGAGCTTTTCTCAATCGTTATGTTAATAAGAGTGCAAACGAGCTATCACAATCCACTTGAAATTATCAAATATCATAACCATAGCTCAACAATTATATAGCTAAGATACATGTTTATGACATGGTTTCCATTTGTTTAACCTCAGGTACTAAAATGATAGGGTGCTGGATGCCCTAATATTTGGCCATACATTATTCCTAGGTATGTATCCAGATGATATTAGCATATAAATTGGAGGACTAAATAAAACAGATGGCCTTTGTCAGTATGGATGAACATCATCCAACCCTTTGAATGCTTGAACAACAAAAGCAAAAGGCAGAAGAAGGGAGAATTTACATTTTTGCTTTCTACCTGGTTAGGACACAGCACCTCTCTTTCCTTGGAGCTTAACAAAATAGACAAACATGCCCAGTGGTGCAAATTTTTCTTATCTATCTCAAAGTCTGTGTTGTCAAGGAGATCACCCCTGCCCCATGTGTCTACCTATGTAGAAACTCACCGGCACACAGAGTCACTTCCCCAAGCCTGGCCTTCCTTCTTTAGCTTTTTTGTTTACTCATCTCACCATAATTTTCATTTTTTGAGTTTAACTTGTGCTATGGTTTCAGAAGACCATTCTGGAGACCACTCTAAAGAGCGTCACTAAAACTGATCCCCAAACTTGAAGGACACCAAAGGGATTCAGGAGAAATTGTCTGATAATAAGCAGAATTGTGATAAGAAATAGCAAAAGAGAAGAGCTAAAATAAGTCTTACTGGTTTTTCAGCACTGTGGAAGAAAACTCAAGTTCATGTATATAACAGAAGCTAAAACTTAAGGAATTCATTGTTTTTACCATCACAAGTTAGGTAGGAAAAGAATGGAGTTGAGATGGAGAGGAGCTTGAAAGCTCATCTGACTCCCACTTGCACCATGCCCCTACTTTAAAGGAAAACATTTGTAATTAATACAAATCCATACCCTCACCTGTACAATGGCCTTAGGACATGTCATGAGCTCTTCTCATTGCTGGTTCTGAACAGTGAAGATAGGAAACATGGAATTCATGACCTGAATGTCAGTGACAGTCACAGCTACCCAACGAAAGTCACAAAGACAGTGGCCACCATCTGCTGAGTTAATCTGTATTCTAATCAATGCTCTAAGCAAACACTTTTTTAAAAAAGGCAGATTTTTCCACTGTAAAAGCATTCTCTTTTATCCCTCATTTTACAAATAGGAAATCAAGACAGCAAAGTTAGATAACTTTTCTAAACCTTGCTGATTTTTAACTGGAAAGTCTGGTTGGAAACTCAGAATTTTTCTCTATGGGACTGAATTCTAGAAAGTATCACCTTTTACAACTATTGCCAACTCTAGAGTTTTAACTGTTTCCTTAAAAAAAAACTAAATTTTATGGAGTTTTTGGAAGAATTAGGTAAAATAAGGCATATGACATTCAAAATACAAATTACAAAAAAGCAATGATGATGGTAAATTTGAAAGACTGATTTTGTTAAGGAAAAAATAATTCCAAAAGTAGCATCAGCAAAGTCTGCTGAGAAATATCTAAAAGTCTTAGAAATAAAGGAAAAGTACTGAGGACAAGATAGATGTTTAGCAGAACCAAATAAATAGAGCTAAGACTCTGACCTCATTTAAACTGGGTAAACAGTCTGCAGAGTAAAATCCAATGAGTCAGGTTACACTCTCCTGCTTTTAGTTCTCTCAGAGGACTGTTCACTGCTAAGATTGCTCAAATGTGCTGCTCGGTGGGATTAACAACTCATTCTTAAGGATCACAATGTGTAAAATCTCTGTTCTCATTTGTTTCATGAGTTTTGCTAGTCATACAGAAGTACAGATTCATCAAACAAATCTATAAAACAAGGCCAATTAATTCTGAGCATATGTTTCTCCCATCAAGCTATCTCAGGGTAAGAATAAGAATAAAATGAATTTTTATTCAAAATGCCAATAATATTTCCCAAAATTAATTTATAGCATGAACTTTGGAGAACATTATATATAAAATATAGTCAATTTTGTAATTGAATTGAATTCCTCCAAAATTTATATGGTTCAATTTTAACTATACCTACCCAAAGGCTGACTGTGAGTAATTAAAATAACTAAACCAGTAGTTAAAATAAGTAGATCTCATGGATGGTTCCTAGGTCTGGGGATGTAGGTCAATAATGCAGTGCTCACTTTAGCATTTGTGAGGTCCTAGGTCCAATCAAGAACACTACCTTAGCAAAAAGGAAAAATGGCTGTAGTGGTGGTTCAGTGGATAAGAGTTCTTACTGCTCTTGCAAAGCATCTGAGTTCAGGGCCCAGAGTCCATGTGGCAGTTCACAACCCCCCCTCCCCGCCCCCGTAGCTTTGCTCCCAGGGGAGCTGACACTCTCTTCTGGCCTCTTCGAGCTCCTGAATGGACACAGTGCACATATAGACACACATATACAAATTTGTGTATACACATACATTTTAAAATTTAAATAAATTAATGAAGAAAAAACAAATGAAAGAAAGAGTATGAATAGTCCCTAATCATATATGAATATGTTCTTATAAGAAGGTACAAACTTGGGTGATATAACTCGCACCTGTAACCCTAAAACTTTGGTGGTAGAGACAGAAAGATGGGGATTTCAAGGTCATCCCAGGCTGCATAGTAAGTTTGATGAAATCCTAGGCTAAAAGGGACCCTGCTTTTTGTTTATTGTTTATTTGTTTTAAAAATGAGAAATAAAAAATATTAGGATACATACAACATGAAGAAAATAAAAGTCATCTAGATGCCAAGGAGAAAGGCATCAGAATGAAATATTAAATGAATACACTGATCGAAGATTTCTGGCTTCCAGAATTGTGGGAAAACACATTTCTGTAATTCCCACAGTCTGTGGTATTTGTTATGGCAACAAGAACAAATGAGTACACTATTGTATAACTGAATTGTGTTTGGCTCGTTATAACAACTGATCCAGTGGTGAAGACAACTAAAATTATCCCTTAATGGAGAAGTGACCTGGTGAGAGAAATAGATAAAACACCTGTTGTACTGCTAATAACTGTATCTGAGGTTCAAGTGACCTGGTGAGAGAAATAGATAAAACACCTGTTGTACTGCTAATAATTTTCTGTGAGGTTAAGCACATACTGTGTGGCACACATCAATTTAGCATGCAAATTTATAGGTCTGTGATGAACCTAGCATGTTTAATTGGTGTCAGTTGTTGAGGGTGAGGGAAAAGTTATATTGAAGGTTATGTCAGTTACTTTCTCATTGCTCTGGCAAAATACCTGTCAAGAGCAACTTGAAGAAGGAAAGTTTAATGTTGGCTCACAGTTGGGGGATTTAGTCCATCAAGATGGGGAAGTGATAACAGCATGAGTTTGAGGCAGCTGGTCATAGAACATCCACAATCAGGACCAATGCATAGTGTGCTAACCTGACTTTCTCCTTTTAATTTGGCCTGGGACCTGAACTGTGCAATAATAGCACAGCTCCATTGAATGAGTCTTTCTGTCTCTCTTTCTAGATAATGCCTCATAGACTTGTCCAAAGATACGTTGCCATGGTGATTTTAAATCACAACACTCTGACAAGATTAATCCTTATGGTGCTTTAACATATAAATTTGTAGGAAATACCATTTAGTTCATAACAGACTAGTAAAATCCCTGTTTCCTTTCACAGTAATGAAGAAACTTGCTAAGCGTGTCTGGTGTGTGAACTACATACATCAAAACTTAAGTCACTGCAAAATCAGTGTATGCCAATAAAATCATTGTATTAAAACAGTCACAAAACACACATACAGAAAAATATATTTGTAAGAAAGATGAAGTTGGATCAAATTAAATTCAGTTGTAGTTTTCTCTTAGTAATCTACAGCACTTCCAACCAAGGGCTTTGCATGTTTAACTATGTGTTTAAAATAAAATAAAAAGTTATACCTTTTTAGATGTGTTTATTATTTTTATTTAGTGTGTATGAGTATCTGCCTACATGTGTATCTATGCACTACATACATGCCAGGTGCCCTCTTAAATGGAAATAGTGCATCAGATCCTCTGGACATGGAATTACAGATGGTTGTAAGCCAACATATGGGTGCTGGGAACAAAACCTTGTTTTCTCTAGAAGAGTAGCAAGTTCTCCTAACCACTGAGCCATCTCTCTAGCCCATACTTTCATCTCAGATAAATTAAATCAATAAATAATGAAAATGTGAATATTTATTATACACACACCCAAAAAATTCCATTTAAGTCTTTCAGGATTGGATAAATGGTTGTTTTTATAAATCACTGGCAATGAAAGCCTGAAGCACAACTTAAGCATTTAATTTCAGCAATTAAAGGCTAAGCTGAGGAATAATTCATGAATTTGTACATCATCCATTGCTACGGTAGCTATTATCCACCCATCAATAAATTACAGAAGTTATATGAATACTTATTGGCTATATTTTAATTGAATTATTAAAAGAGTACCTCTACTGTTTGGGATAGAGCCTTTGTTATATCTCCCTGCTATAGATTTCCATTTAGCTTTTGGAGAATATCCATATTTGAGAAATGCTTTGTAATCACTGTGAGCTTGTCTTTGGAGGAAGCCCTGAGAAACAACATGCAATACTAAAGAAGAACTGTATCCAAGAAAGCCCTAGCATAGAAGAAGAAAAAAACTAGAGTCAGGAATGGCTTCACATTATTTCAGCAATAATAAAATCTGAAATCCGTATCTTGTCTAGTTAAAAACAACATCAACACAAAACCCTGTTAAATTTAGTCAATACCTTTTAAATTATTTGCAAAGGTTAAAAAGCAAAGTGGTTTTGGTATATTTCAGCATTTTGAGTATAATCTCAATGGCCTCTACGTTATGATCAGCAGTTTCTTAATTCCTTTTCTCTGGTGGTATTCGATACATGATTTTACTTGCTCATTTCTTCTAGGGCAGCAGTCAGAGCAGAGGCAACTAGCTCCCTTAGGAAATTGCCTCTATTTGTTTAGTAATTGGGTTGCTACTTGTACTGCTGTATTGAAAGCAAACTTCAGAAAGCAAATGTGTCCAAACTTCTCTACTGAAGAATAAACTTGCCTTGCTATAAGCCAAAACCCATCACATCAATTTGCCAAGCAAAGAAAAATATGCAGGCTTTTTTTGTAAATTCAGACTCCTATTGTTCTCTTTTGGGGTCATTTTCCTGTTCACCAGCAGAAGCCCACTGCTGATACCCTGCAGGCATGGTTGCGTTTGCAGACCCTTGCACAGGAAGATATGACAGCTTGTAAGAACTTCAGGATTGTCAGCTGCTCTAGTTGCATTTCTCATGGATGAATATAAAATATTCCTAACCCTCCCTCAGTCTTTTTGGTATATTGAAACAACAAGGAATTCACATTGAATGCCATCTTAACCAATTTACAATATTATTTACAACTAGTATTGAGATTTTGTTCTTATTACAAATGATTGAAATAAAGACATTTTCTTTTCCAGGTGTGCTGGTATACAACGAAAATTCTAACTCTCAAGTGGCTCAGGCAGGAGAATCAAAAGTTCAACACCATCCTGACCCTGTGTCAAAAATGCTGTTTTCCTTCTGGAAATAAAATTCTGTATATACAAGCAGAGCCATTTTTAAAAATCAGATTTATTGCTCTTACATTTTACTGCCTTGAGTCTCAATAAAAAAAAATTGTATTTGCTTTCTTTATATACAAATATAATTTAAATAAATAATCTCAGAAAATAAATCAACTCAGCATATCCCAGAGTTTTAAGTGGCTTTATAAACATCATCTAGTGTTACAAGGAAACAGTTTGCATTCTAACCACAGAAATGTTCAATCATTTTAACTATTGAACAGTCAAAGTTGTGTACGATCTGGCCCCAGGACAGACAATGTATAATGAACTCTATTATTGTAAACTAGCCCATGCCAGGAAGAAACTTGTTTCTGTTCTTTGGCAAGATTTTGCTGTGCTGCATTTTTAAATAAATGAATAAAATAGAGACTCTAAAACAGATTTCATATTCTACATGGATGAATGCAATAAACAAAAGGCATTGGGCAACTTTCATGATGAAGTTTTCCCACGTATCTTCTTAAAGCAGTACATAATACCAAATGCTAATAAGTACATAGCACCTTAGACGTGAGTATGAGCATTATTGTCCTGTTTACAGGATTGTGAATATTAGCACTGGACTTCAACCACTGTAGTATAAATACTGGTTTGGAAATATAAAGGCTTAATTTGAAGGAACCTTAATACAATAATACAACCTTAATACAATAGCATACACAAATCTTACCCTCATGGAACAAAAATATAAATCTATCATGAAATGATATTCTAAAGACATAATGAATGAGCTTTTCTTGTCACTAATTTAATAGCACACTACTAAGCTATCAGTTTAGGAAAAGTATCATTGATTTTCCATTTTAATGAAGACAAAATACATGACTATATGGTGTCACTCCAGCCAGTTAATAAGGAATCAACACCCATTTCTTCCCTGTGACATATTTGTTATTACCCTGCCCAACCAAGAATGTGAGATTAAATGGGATCAAATAAATTCATCGATCATTTCCATTTTTTTTAAAAAAATGAGCATTAGCTAATAGATAAGCTAAAGGCCATAGCACAAGTGAAAAGTAACAGAAATGAAAGCACAAGAAATATAATGTACATCTACAAAACCCAGCTAGATCCTATGAGCTGCCTGAAATCGGGGTCTATGGGACACATCGGGAAAGACAGCTGGGCCATTGCAGCTATTGTGAATCAGGTACCTAACTAAGAAACAGAGACAAGATGGAAAGAAGAAGGAAGGAGAAACAGAGGTGGAATCGGGCAGGGTCCAATCAGCTGTGCGTAAAAGCAGTTCCAGGTATGGAGGAGAGCCAGGAGTCTCAAGCCTCAGGCTCTGTAACCAAGAATTGGGATGTTTTGGGGGTTCCTCTAATCTTGTGTACACTGAAAAAGGATGCTGGTAAGAACTGTTTACCCACTTAACCATTTATAATGTTTAGTTTTCCTTTTTGCCCAGATATTTTGAACAGGATCTGGGGGCCAGAAGAGCAGGAAGAAGACGGAACACACATCCAAATATAGTGGTGAAAAGGCAGGTAAGAACTTCACCTGCGGGCATAGACTTTCAGGAGGCATGACATGAGTACAAACACCTGTGGTCCCTGAGCTTCTAGAAAAATCTGTGCTCTGAGTAATGTCTTCTATATATAAAACTTGGACCTCTGAGGTTAATTCTGCCAGGGGAAACATGAGTAGAATTTGATTGCAAAAGAGCTAGTTGGGTTATTTTAAGCAAAACTTATAAAAGATCACATGAATGAATGGTTTGTGTCCACTACAGGTAGCTGTTATTTCTTGATGATTTGTTTTCCTTTTAGCTAATATCAATAGCACTTGATGAGAAATGCCATTTTATCAGCTGCCACTGCCATATTCTAAAAACAAGCACAATTTTTTGTTTAACAATATTTTTCTTATAGTTTATTATCATATTCTCTCCCCAATCCCTCACAGCTCCTCCCCCACTCTCTACCTCCCTCCTCACCCAACTTTGTTTTCCCTCAAAAAATAAATCCAAACAAAAGAAACAAATAAGATGAAAATAACCAACCAAAAGAAAGCAAAACTAAGAGGGCACAAGCAAACACCGAATCTATTTTGTATTGGCTGTGGTGCTTGCCCTGGAATGAGGCTGATGTACCGAATGGTACCCCAGCGTAAAAAATTATTTTCTCTTTCTCAGCAAGTATCAATTGTAAATAGCATCTTGGTTGGAGGTGAACGTGGTGCTCACTCTCTCTTCTGTGTTTTGTGTGTCAGGAACCTGTACAGGTCCTGTGTGTGCTGGCAGGTTTTGTGAGATCATATTGTATTAGTACTGTTCTGGCACACACTGTTATCTCCTACTTGTGGCTCTTGCAATCTTTCTGCTTCTTCTCACACTTAAAGCTCTGAGTCTGAGATAGGTTTGTTTCATGAGAACAATTTGTTGATGCTGTCTATTCTTTGGTGTGGTTTTGTTTTATTGTTTGTTTGGGTTGGTTTGGTTTGGGGTTTTTTGTTGTTGTTGTTTTGAGAAGTTTTGGTGGGTTTTATTTTTGCTTCTTTGTCAAAAATCAGGTATTGATAGATATGTGAAATTATGTCTGGGTTTTCAGTTCTATCCACCATGTCTGTTTTTATGACAGTACCACGATGTTTTTATTACTATAGCTCTGTAATACAACTTGAGATCTGAGATGCCATGAGCTTACTGTAAATTGCCTTTATTATGTTGAGGTATGGCTCCTGTATACATAGTATCTTCTATCATGAAGCCATGTTGGATTCTGTCAAAAACCTTTTCTACATCCAATGAAATTCTCATGTGGTTTTCATAATTTAGTATGTTTATTAATTTCTGTGTGTTGAATTATCTCTTCATCTCAGGGATTAAGCTATTTTAAAACTGGTAGATAATCATTGGATGTGTTACTGAATTTTGTTTTCAAAAATGTTTACATCCATATTATCAAAGGAAAATGGTCTATAATATTCTTTTCCTTTTCTTTTTCTTTTTTTTTGGTTGGGTCTTTTTTATGATTTTGGTATCAAGATGATAGTGGCCACTTTTTAAAAAAGAAATAGAAAATTTTCCTTCAGTTTCTATTTTGTGAGAAAAAAATTTAAAGAGTATTGGTCTATTCTTTGAAGTTCTGCTAAAATGCTGCACTGAATCTCTCATGCCCTGGGCTTTTCATTGTTGTTGCTGCTGTTGTTGAGAGGCTTTTAATTATTGTTTCTAATTCACTAGGGGTTATGTGTCTGTTCAGCTTGTTTATTTCATCTGCTTTAACCTTGGTCTGTCATATATATATATATATATATATCAAGAAGTACATCCATTTTTTAAGCTTTCCCAGTTTGTTGGAATACAGATTTTTTTTAAAGCATTTTAATTGTCATAATTTTCTCAGTGTCTGTTGTAATGTCTCCTTTTTCATCTCTAATTGTAATAATTTGAATCTTCTCTCATCATCTTTTTATTAATTTGGCTAAACATTGGTCACGTCTGTTGTTTTTCTCAAAGAACTAACTTTTCATTTCATTGATTCTTTGTGCTGCTGTTACAGCTTGTTTGTTTCTATTTCATTGATTTTAGCCCTAAGCTTGATTATTTCTTCATGTCTATTCTTTTGAGGTCTTATTTCTTCTTATTTTTCTAGATCTTTCAAATGTGTTAAGTAAGTAATATGATGTCTCCCCGATTTTTGATGTAGACACTTAGTGCAATGAACTAGCCTCTTACAACTGCCCTCGCTTTGTCCCATAGGTTTGGCTATATTGTATTTTCACTTTCGTTTAATTCTAAAGTTTTTAATTTTCTTCTTAGCTGAGTATGGTAGTAGTGGGGTCCCTGATTGTTAATCCCACCAAACAAGACTAAAAACCACCAACTAAATTAGCTAAATTTATAACAAGCTTTATTATCTATGCACAATAAAGCTGGCCAAGTGACTGCCTTTCCCTAAATGCAGGATTTGAGAGGACAACCCCAAACATGGGACAAGTTGGGTTTTTATAACCCCCAAAACTGCAAGACTGGGGATTTGCATTCATTGGGGTATTCCAGAGAAATTTTGACTGTGTAGGAACTTGGCAGAACATCTCAAAATTATTTGAGGGAAGTCCGACAGCCAGGTGTTAGTGGCGCATGCCTTTAATCCCAGCACTCAGGAGGCAAAGGCAGGTGGATCTCTGTGAGTTTGAGGCCAGCATGGTTTACAGAGTGAGTGCCAGGATAGGCTCCAAAGCTACACAGAGAAACCCTCTCTCAAAAAACCAAAAAAGTGTGTGTGGGGGGAGGGGGAGTCCAGGTATGGTCAGGGTATAGGGTGTGGAATATATCAAATTCTAGAAACTTAAGGTTTATAATAAACAAAAATGAACTTATTTTTACTTTGTAACAAGATGACTTCTGATCTTAAGTTCACTGGGTTCATCAGGATCCCAGCGAAATGTGGTGGCTGCAGAGTCCCTGGTAGAGAGGTGTTCTACACGTTGGTGGGGATTTACAAAGTAATGGAGATGGGCTAGAAGTAAAGGTTGAGAGGGGTGGTATGGAAGAATTAGAGGACTCTGGGTCTGCTGAGTACCCAAGAAGCAGACTTGGGGGAGGAGCTTAGATAGAAGGGCAGCAGCAGAACTAAGAGTAAGACCGGAGAGTGAATAGAGGACAGGAAGAAGGATAAAAGTTACAGTGTCTCCTCCTAGTGTGGAGTTTGTGGGTCCCTGTTAGAGAACAGTTCTGTGGGTTGGTTAAAGTCACAAAGGAGTGGCAATAACCTAAAAGGAAAGACTGAAAGGGCATCAAAGAGGCATTTCTTTGAATGTTTATTTTTGATGAGTGGTTTAGACTGGCTCTTTTAGAAGCATGCATTTGTATAATTTAGAAATTATGTAGCATTGTGCTATTCACTGCAATAATAAAGCAGAGTTAATCAAACTGGAAATTGTTGATTTCCATAAGACTAAGTATAATTGATGTAGACAAAAGAACAACAAAGCTGTTTTCCTGTGTGCTGTGAGTCAGACTTCCAGAGTGAACTGGCCTTCTAATCCCTCCTTCTGCCCCCAGACTTTCACATGGTCTCAGATATATGCAGCAGAGCCTATCTTTGGAATTCGTCAAACTGTTGCTTGAAGGGCAGACAAAGGAAAGAGGAAAAGGAAACAAACTAAATGAAATAAGAAAGAAAGGTCAGGGAGTAGGAAAAGATGACAGAGAAAATAAAATTGCTTTTCTATGTGTCTAGTATAATCTATGAAAGATATACTAGAAATGAAGCTCCCAAAAAGCTCTGAGTGGGTTGAGAAATGGAAACTCATTCCAAGGGACAGGGACCAGAATAATCCTCTCAACTTGGAATCTAAAATAGAGCCAGAGAAATTGCATTAACCAGTATGAAAACTTGAAGTAAAAGACCAGATTGGACTTAGACATTGAATACAAGCAGAAAAGAATTTTAAAAAGAAAAAAATAAGTTCTCTCTCTTTCTCTCTCTCTCTTTCTTCTCTCTCTCTCTCCCTCTCCCTCTCTCTCTCTCTCTCTCTCTCTCTCTCTCTCTCTGTTGTGTGTGTGTTAGAAAAATGGGTGAGAAATACACAGACATTTGATTGCATTTTCTTTGTAACTTCTATGAGGTGAACTCCCATATGAAGTACCATATTTTGAATTCTTTTCATTAAGTCCACCTTGATTGATGGAATTTTTGCTTCTTGTAACATCTGCTTAGCTATATCTCTCCTATCCTTTGAACGTCAAGACACTTTGCTGGTGGAATAATAAGACAATGTTGCTCTGTTCACTGCTGCTATCTTACCACCTTCAAGCATCAATCTAGCAGCTTCTAGAATCTAAATAACCATTGCTTGAATCTGTTGGACATCTTCTACTGGAAAGGCAAGTATCAATTCAGGGAGATTATTGCATTTATGACCCAAATATCCCAGAGGACGGAGAAATTCGGCTGTCTCTGTTTAGCAAAGATTAAACCAGAAACATCCTGCTAGTCAACCATTCCTATCAGCACACTTAACTTCCATCAAGGACACATCTTTTCATAAAGATGTTAGTGCATTAAAAATGCCCAAATGGATACTTTCTGGGGAATATTTGCTGTGAGTATAAATTGCAAAAGAAACTTCATACAACTCTGAGATACCACCTTACTCCTGTCAGAATGGCTAAAATCAAAAACACCAATGACAGTTTATGCTGGAGAGGATGTGGAGAAAGGGGACACTCCTCCACTGTACCATTTGTCATATGTGGCCATATTGCTTACTGTTGTAGCTGTTGAGTTAATAGTTGGGTAAGACTGTTGATAAATTTTCTTCTTCTCGGTAGCCTACACTACACTTTCTGGCACAATGAAAGCATCCCTGAAGGTTGGAAGCTTCTAGCTTAGTTCCAGCTTAATTTCTCCTGGCCTTGGAACCATGGATATGGTGTCTTCAGCAATAGGGTCTTAGTTGTTGTGATAAAATACCCTGACAAAAGCACCTTAGAGGAGAAAGTGTTCCTATCACTGTGGGAAAGTAAAGGCAGGAGCACAAAACATCTAGTCACAGAGCAAAGAGAATCAGTAGGCATATTTGTATGCAGTTCTTTCTCTTCTGTATACAGCCAAGGACCAAAATCCAGAGAATACTGACTCCTTTTGATACACCATCACAAAGGCCTTTCCTAACTCTAATAGTAGATTAAATATCACCTATCATACTTAATGGTAAAAATGTTAAAAACTTGTTTATAACATCAGGTATGAGTCCATGACATTATTTCTCCCATTCCCATTCTAATTTGTGCAGTCAAACCTAGTTGCACTGTAAGAAAGAAAAAGAAGACATAAAATTAAATTGTTGCTATGTGAATATAAATACATATGATTATGTATGGTGAAAATACCAAATAATATAAATTACAAGAATTAAAATAATTTTAGTTGAATAAAAACTATCAACATTCAGGGTCAAGTACATTTCTCCATAGCAGTCACAAATGAAATGTCATATAATAACAAAATTAAGAATACTCAATTACAATATTCATTCTGCAAATACTGTGCATTCTTGAAACTTATTTAGAGACGAATCTACAGAGAAGAATAGACACTTTAAGTAAGGAAAGTTGTATAATACCTATTTGAGCTATGATATGGATAAGTATTGCCTTGGGCTTTCTCCAACTGTATTTGGTCCCTTGGGCACCAATAAACAATGAGAATGATGTTCACTTCATCTTCACATCAATGTAAGTAATTGAGTTCATCATTAGTAATTTTTCAAGCTACATGATTCTTAGTTTTCTCATAAAGAAAGCCCTATCCAGTTTAATGGATGTTTGTGCTTTTCTAAAATTGTTATGTGATTTTTTTGTTAAAATAAAAACCTATTTATGTATTTCAATGTTTATGGTTCAATATAAGACCTTATACACTTTTTATACAGTGCAAGGAGAGAAACAGGCCATGCCAAGATTAGATGTGGAAAAAGGCAGAGGATACACAATTCTAATTTATCCTCCACCTGCATTTAAAAACTATGAAATAAGGTCATGCCTTCATTTGTAGTGTTCCATATGAGAGACTAGAGTCTCACAGACAGAAAACACATCTTTTGGTTGGGAGCTGTCCTGTGTATCATTTAATAAAATGGTTCCTAGGTAAATATTTAGACTTAAACATGCTTATTAGTCTTGGTCAGTCAATGTTTTTATCTCTGGGGTTGTTTTCTGACTCAAAACTTAACTATAGATTCTTGTAGGTTGTGACAAGGAAGTTAATATCCACCAGCAGGAATGGTCATTGTCTCTTTCCAATAGCTGTTTTCTTAAGAATGGTGCTGGAGAACATCATTTCAGTGATGGACAAAAGTTATCACACCTACTGCTACATTACAAAGAAGGTGAGACTTGACAGCATTTAACAGTTCTCTGGCATAAGCTGGACAAAAGCAGTGGTTGGATGTTTTTAGCTTGTTTTCTGTAGACATCTTCCCCATTAGAGTAGGTGGGTGAGGAAGGGACAGTTGACCAGACTCTACATAAGCAAGAACCGTGTGGCTGAAATGTCCACAAGTAATTAAAAACAATGAGTGATATTTACAAGGGGAAGTTTTACACTCATTTGAACCACTGTGCAAGATTGTGGCTTGATTTCAGTCTTGTCATGTGTTTTGTAAATTTCCATTTCAAAGAGAAGGACCTGTCCCTGCAGTCAAGAGAGACAAAGCTGTGTTCATGCTGATTAGTGCCTAATTCAAACTGGTGGTGTGTACACATATACATCAATACAAAGTTCTTGGTAATTATGCAAAAATTGGAACAGGGACATAAGTGGCTTGCTAGAAGATACAAGGGCCAGCTTGTTTGATTTTAATAGTATCTGGATAACGAAAGAGTGCTCGCATTGCTCCTTGCTTTCAGAAAAGAATGTCATAGCTATTTAAGGATAAGAGAAATCATAATAAAAAGGGCAATGGAAAGGACATCGGGAAACTCTATCATTCTAATTAACTATCTCATTAGGACAGACTTTCACTTCATAATATTTTGTACCAGTTTTGGAAAGTGGGCTGAATTGAAAAGCAGTTTCACCTTGCTCTGGGAAAATGATAATTTGAATCCCCAGTTGGAAACAGAGCCAAAAAATGGAGAAATGTGTACAGACTTCATTTTTTAAGCACACCTCCAGCTTCAGCCCTGACTAAAAAGGTGAATGGTAGGGAAACACAAAAGAGCCTATTCTTTGTGCCTATCTAAAAGCAGGAAGTGATGAATCCCACTGGACAGAGCTTGTGTCTAGCTGATTCCAAAACCCAGTTTCTAGATGAAAGGACCCTGGAGAGGTAGACTTTTGCTTGGCTTTGTTAAGCAAATGATGGGCTTACCTCCAATGCTTCATCCAGCTGACATTGTTCTTTGTTCATTCTGTTCTGTCTGAGCCAGTTTCAGGAGCAAAAGGATGTTTGTTGTTTCAGAACTAGATGCTCTGAAGGAACTTTGGAAACCAAATAGTCCCAAGAACATGCCTTTGAATATCAATGTCCCCAGCACTCCTCTGGCTTTCACAGATAATTCCAGATTATATAAAAATGTCCTAAAATATCTGCTTATTTTATCCCTTGCTATGGCAGTTGCATTTTCAGCAAAGCAAGCAAACATCATTTTAAAAGCCTGAAGATCATGAGGTAAAAAATTAAGTTGAGTCTTATGAAAGACCAAAAAAAAGAAAACAGAGTAATTCTGCTTCTTCTGTGTTTTGAAAGGGAAGGCACCATAAAAGAGAAGGGATATGCTGAGTGTGGAAGACAGAGAGGAGAAAGTGAGAGACACTCAAAATCCACAGAACTAGGCTATACTGAAATGAAAGATATAAGCACTCACTTGTGTGATGAGAAAAGTAGAACACACCCACATCATTCCTTCGCACCTCCCCCTCCCCCATATGCCAGGATGTCCACTATCAAGTGTATGAGTGATTTAATCAGAACCAAAGAAATAGCTGGGACAGCAAGGCCCTAGAGCAGGGCTTCTCAACCTCGCTGGTCCTGTGAGCCTTTAATACAGTTCCTCATGTTGTGGTGACCCCCAGCCATAAAATTATTTTCATTGCCATAACATAATTGTAATTTTGCTACTGTTATGAATTATATAATATAAATATATCTGATTTTCAGGATATCTGATGTGTTACCCATGTGAAATGGTCATTTGATCCCAAAGAAGTCTTGACCCACAGGTTGAGAGTCACTATCCCAGAGAATAGAATACTCATCCTCAAACTATAAGACTGGACATAAATGCTAAGAAGACAAAACATCTCTGAAAAGTTTCATTCAATCTCATTGAAATTGTCATCTGAGTCCTTTCCAGAAAGACCTTGGTGTAGGCCTACAGACAGTTTGCCGTAATACTTTTTCTAAGCATTTCAGAGTTTGTGTATTATGTTGTGGTGTTTGGCCCATTTTGACTTGGCATCTGGACAGGGTAATAAATGGCAGCATGGTTTCATTCTTCTTAGTGTGCCTATCCAGTTTTTCCAACATTGTTTATTTAAAATGCTGTTGTTTATCCAGTATGCTTTTGGCTTCCTTGTCAAACATCGGGTCGGTGCAGTTGTAGTTTAATTCCAGGTCCTCTATTTTAGTCCATTGCTCTGTGTGTCTAATTGTTTGAGTATCATTTTAGCTTTGTTAATATGCCTCTCCAGTCTAATTCAAAAATTACTGATATTGTAATTTTTATTGTTACTTTAGGATAGGATAGGGAGAGCCTTTTGTGTCTTCATACATACATTGGGATATTTTTTCTGTCTCTGTAGAGAATGTTTTTGAAGTATTTGATATGGATTACATAGATTTTAGTGACATGGACATTCTCACTGTATTTAGTCTGGCAATACATGACCATGGAAGAACTTTCCATTCTCTAATGTCTTCAGAATCTCAAATTTTAGTAGTAAAGACCTTTCAAAACCTTGGTTTAGTTTATTCCTAGAAATGCTTGGTTTTTCTTGCTTCCTTTCTTCCTTTTTCTTTTCTCTTCCCTTCTCTTCTCTTTTCTCTTTTTCTGTTGTTAATGGGATTATTTGTCTGATTTCTTTTTCAACAAGTGTATAATATTAGTATACAGAAAATCTGCTGATTTTTGTATGTAGATTTTATATCCGATATTTTGCTTAAAGTGTTTTTTCTCCTTTGAAGACTTTTCAGATAGTCTTTAGCATCTTTTATGATACCATTGCCTGAAAATGGGGAAAATGTGACTTCTTCTTTTCTTTTATGTTACTTTCACTTCTTTCTCCTTTGTTATTACTCTAAGTCTTCAAGGACAGTTTTGAGTGGGAGTGAAGAAAATGGGAATCCTATTATTGTTCACTAATTTTTTAGTTTTTCCCAATTTTGTGAGATGTCAGGTGTAGGTTTGTCACATGCAGCCTCTGTTTTATTGCATTATACCTCTTCTCTTTCTAATTTTTCCAGGATCTTTATCATGAAAAAGCTTTGTACTCTGCCAAAAGCCTTTTCTGCATCTACTGAGATAATCAAGTGATTTCTGTCCTTGAGTATGTAAACATGATGGAATATAAAAAGTAACATGTGTGGAATCATTTTGGAGTCCCTAGAATGATGCCAACTTGGTCATGGTGATTGAATTTTCATATGTGTAGTCAAATTCAGTTTGTAAGTATTCTACTGAAAAATTTTGGATCCTTCTACATCCCTGGGAAGGCCAATGGTTCTCTTGGTTATTTAGTTATTTGGCTTCATGTGGTTGAGATGCTCTGTCACCTAGCATGAGCAACTCTGCAGGAAGCTGGCTTTGACTCTGGATCGTGTGTGTGTGTGTGTGTGTGTGTGTGTGTGTGTGTGTGTTGGATCATAATCATTTACTTATTCTAATTTTTGAAGAATTTCTATTGCTAGTGACTAGGCTTATTTGCATCTTAAACAACAGTGTATAAGAGTATATACTTTTCCTGTAACATTATTTGATTTTGTTCTTGATAGTATGAATTAAAGGGCTAGAATATACTTTTGATATATATTTTTGATATATATTTTTCTGATGGCAAAGAAGTTGAATTTTTAACACATTCATTGCAATGGAACAATATTTGGGGTTAATTGATAAAAATAAGTTTTTGTATATTGGCCCCTGTTCTAATGCTGGTATCACATTCTCACAGACTGATAAATTATCAATTAAAGAAGTTTATTTTGCTTCAGAGTTCTGGTGCAAAATCAAGGGGCAACATTTGGTCAAAGCCCTTTTCCAGACAGAGTTAAGAGCTAATGCAGAGCATCCTATGAGGAAGGACAAGGTTCTGTGTGTGAGCTACCCTGCTCCCTCTTCCTCTTCACATGAATCCACAACATCCACTCATGGAGGCCTTGTCTTTATCTAACCCTAATCACTTCCCAAGTCCTTATTTCTACACAATACAGTTGGATTAAATGTCATGCTCTCTCTGCCCCCTAGTGATTATTAATCTCAAACCTGAATTCCAGAAAAGCACTTTCATAGTCGAAACATGTCATCAAGTGATAAACTGTTATCAAACTAAAATAATTAACAATGTGGAATTAGTGGGTAAATAAAAGAAAACCTGAAAATATATAATATTTCAATATTTGGTAAATGTGTCTTTGCAAATACTGACATGGATAGATTATTCAATAGTTTCAAGAAAGCCGCTAATAAGTGAAAATGAGGAATTAAGTTAGCTTTCTAATTTATCCTATACAATCAAATAAATTGAATATAGATAAATTTTTTATGAAAAACTCAGGTAGTTAAAGCATTAGAAATCACATATAAGAGAGAAAAATTAATAAAGTTGGCAGTATGTGAAAAATAGAAACTTTTCATATCTTTTTAATGACTTTTTATAAGTCAAAATTATTTCAAAATAAAAAGATTAAACAATGGCTCAGATATAATGGAAAGAAACTCAAACATTTTTTAAAAGTTAAAACATTTAAGTATTTTATTACACAAATATTTAATTAAGTTAAAATTATGTGGTGACATCACAATCTGTTTAATAGTAAAAGAACTGTAAGTGGCAAAAGGTAGAGAATGATATTGGTAACCAAATGACATGAAATCTCATTATTACTAACCACAGAGTATTTATTGTCACATCAAAATAGAAGACCTGAACCACTACAGAACACTAGGTGGAGCACGGAGCATACAAATGATATGCCAAGCGAGGAATTCAAAGAACCAGTTAATATGCATTAATATAAAAGCCACCACTTTAATATGGAAACTAAAATATAAAGAAACCTGTGAAATTTCCAAAACTTAAACATTTTTGAAGGAATAGTAATTATAAATGCTTCCATTGTTATTGTGGAAAAATGAATACACTCATAGGCTGATAATGATAAGAAGAACTACAAATCATAATAATAGTTTTTCTGCTAACACAATGAGTCAAAAATTCTGAGGAAAAGGGGAGTCCAAAAATATTTAAGCAATTTATATAATCCCAATAATTATTATTTGCAAATTACAGGTAAGAAAATCAGTTGTACAGAGACCAAGCAATATATTCAAGTACAAACAGGAATGCTTGAGTCTTTCTGACATTCCCAAACACCAAGGATTTCAGTGCTAGTATTTTAAACAATAAATAAAACAAAAATATCAGATGTGATATGAGTCAAAAATAAAACAGGGTTATCATCAATGCTTGGATCTTCTGGGGATATAAATGTGTTGACCTAGTGACAACATTAAGTGTGATATAGACACCCCATAAAACACATCTGAAGTGAAAGGCATGGCACAGCCTTCAAAGTACTCACTATGGTCTATATTGTACATACTATGGCTCTTCACTTCTAAAGGTCTATCTGAACTTTCACCCTTGAAACATTGAGCCACCTAGCTTCTGCTGTATCAACTCCTCAATTTTCACAGAGCTGCTACAGGCTGACTATGGGCTGATAAACATTGTGATTAAATTGATTGAGCAATCAAACATTGCCCTGTGAAGATGTTCACAATAGTAATACACATATTTGTGTAACATGAGGTTTTTCTTTTGCCCAGCTAGGTCCCGCCACTGCTGTAGCCCCCAAATAACACACAGAGACTCTATAGTTACAATGCTGTTGTCCATTGGTTATGATTTCTCATAGGCTAGCTCTGACTTAATTTTTGTATTTTTTGGTTGTTGTTGTTGTTGTTGTTTTTCAAGACAGTCTTTGTGTTGTTTTGGAGCCTGTCCTGGAACTAGCTCTTGTAGACCAGGCTAGTCTCAAACTCAGAGATCCACCTGCCTCTGCCTGTGTTGGGATTAAAAGCGTGCGCCAGCAATGCACGGCTTATGACTTAATTATTAACTCATTTCTAGTAATCTATATATCCCCACGTGGCCTTATCTTACCGGAGATAAGGTCTGGGTCTCTTACTCTGTTGGGGTCTACATCACATCTGCTCAGCATTTCTGCAGAGAAGAAGAGAAGAGAGGAGAGGAGAGGACAGAGTGATTTCCTGAGGAGAGGAGAGGAGAGGAGAGGAGAGGAGAGGAGAGGAGAGGACAGAGTGATTTCCTGTTTGTTCTTGCTTATATATTGTTATTGCCTGCCATGTCACTTACTGCTTGGATCACATGGCAACTTCTCTTTACTAAATTTCCCAGAATTCGCCTTGTCTCCTAGTCCTGCCTATCTTGCTTCCCTATTGGACAACAGTGCTTTATTCAACAACCAATAAGATAAATATATGTACAAAAGATTTCCCCCGTCATATTTGTAACTTGTTATCCATGTTCTAGAAAGTGCTACATAGGTAGCACTGACCCCCTTGTCTTTACCATGGTTGAGTTTGACTGACTTGGTTTGTAACAAGCCATATTGAAACTTGTAGATATGGTAGATATGTAATTTGAATAAATTCTGAAATAGCAATTGGCCAAGAATCCAAAACTGGGTGTTTTGTATACATGGAATCAAAGAATAATGGCAGGATACTAGTGTACTTACTGGTCCAAAGACAGAAGAAAGTGAAATTCTACCATAAAGAATGATTTTAAGTTTAAAGATACAGGAATGAATCTTAGGTTAGAGTAGTAATCATTGACTATCAAAGGAGAGAAGAAGTAAATACCCCTGGGTATTCACCTTTAGGACTACTAAATGTACAGAGATGCTGAAGTGCTTGAATCATGGATAAATAGAACCACTATTTCATAAACAGCCAACACTCATCCCTAATTATAATAGCATTTATAAATAAACAATGAAGAAGCTGACTATTGGATATTATAGAGGGTTGATTCTACAAGACATCCATGTCAAAGAGCAGAAAGCAAAACAGAGCCTCGGGATATGCTAAGTTGGTAGTGTTTTCATAGCACTCAGGAAGCCCTGGGTCCCATCACCCCCACATACACACCTCATAGGCTGAGCTTGACAGTGTATATTTGTAATCTCATTGCTTGGAACATGATGGCAGAAGGGTCAGAAATTCAAGGTCATCCTTGTCTACATAGAGAGTTCAAGGCCAGCATGGGCTACATGAAACATGGTTTGAAAAATAAACAAAATGTCAAAACAGATCTCATCATTTCTGGCTAAAGTCAAAGCAGTACACCTGATAATTCAAGAAAATCCAAATATCATCCTGTACTAAATGAACATTTTTGTCTGATAGGTTTTAGAAGGTAACTTCTCAGCAACTCTGCCTGCTTTTGTTTTGTAACGTAGTTTGTAGTGATGAAGTCATTGCATGAATTTATCATTGAATATTAGCATTCAACACTTTAACTGGATGTCATGTCTGAAGGTACAATTTGTTAGAGAAAAATTGCCTTATTTCAGTTGCATTTCTTTTCTGAATCAGGACACTTTGAACAAATTCAACTGAAAACAGCCTTTGAAACACTTTAAATAGAGGTGGTGTTTAAAATGACATTTTAATGTTTCATAAAACATTTATTTTCTGTCCACAAGAAAAATCATACATTTAAAATATTTATTTATAGTCACATAATTTATTGATTTCACATGAACACTTCGAAAGACAATGGCTTTGTTTTCTAAAATTTACTGAGTTCATCAGATTTCTTCCTGAACTTATGTATTCAATATCCTCAACTTTCTAACTTTAGTGACCAAGAAGTATGTATCAAAAATTGACTTTTGTGTCATCTTTTGTAACTCTCATATTGTATAACTTAGAGTATTATAAAACTGGATTCAAATATTTTATCACAGTTCGGAAGTTTTAAAAGGAAATATACTACATGTTTTATGCCATGCAGATGCATTTAAATTGATGTTTCATCATTCTTAACTTCTGCCTTCTGGAGAGTATATAGTTCGAGCAATCAAGTTAGGAACATGGTGCATGCCAGGTAAAGCTCTAACACTGACCTACCTCTCCAAGCCATTTTCTTCCAATTTTCCATCTTGTACTGTTTGTACTTCAAGACAAATAGGACTGTGGGTACAGCTTAGCAGCAACAGCACTTATCTTCTGTGCTTGAGGCCCTTGGGTCTGGTGGGGAGGTCCTTCTGCATATATGTTTATCTTATTGGTTGTTGAATAAAGCACTGTTCGGCCAACGAGGCAGCAA